CTTTGCAGAACATATGTCTCAGCAGGGCCAGAGAGTCTTGTCTCTTGTTTCTATCCTGCCATGGATCTCAAGACTGTGCTTTTGCTTCAACCATTCTTTACAGAATAAACAATGTAAGGTTATGTTGAACAGACAGTCGTGAATATATGCTAGCTTTACTCACATCTCCCACTCCAGGGGCGGGTTCTCCCTAACTCTGTAATCCCTGCGCTGAGCAGCACCCGTTGTCATTGTGCTTTTCAGTGCTTTGCCTTTGTTCAGCAAGGTCATGCTGCGGAGGGTACAGAAAGCAGCACCTTCTCAGGAACAACTTCCCTGGGCACTCAGCTAGCCTCTGGAAACTTGCTGTGTCATCACGCAAACAATGACAGATGCCACCCTATCATCCATGACACGGTTACAGTCTAGACAACCAAAACTGAAAAACCCCGATGAGGGTCTTGCTTGTCCGAGTCTTGCTGCCCTCTGGGGCAGGGGAGGAAGGGTACCCTGCTCTGGGACCCGGTGTCCTGAAGGTGCTGGTGAGCCCATGTCCCAGCTACAGCCCCCTTCACTTCAAGTTTTTTGAGCAATTTGTCCTACATAAGGGGAGTCACATGTACAGAGAGCTTCTTGAGGAAAACTGAGCCCAAGCTTCTTTTGCAAGTCTGTTCACTCCAGTCTTGGGGTTGCTTCCGGGAAAAAGAGTAATTTTGAAAAATCTGGCTAAGGACCACTTTTGAATCACGGAGCCAGATATTTTTGGGCAATATGGGTATATGCTATGTGAAGAGATTTAGACTAGCACCACATTGCCTTCCTTGGCTACTAGAAAGAGCAGAGCCACAGTAGCATGGAGATCTCCAAATGCAAGCATATGCTGCTTCTTAACTCTGCTTACTAGCCTATACAGAGAATTGCATTAATACAACCCTCTTACTCTGGGTATCTTGAGTAGCTTGGCTTTGCTTACGCACTTCTTGGCTGCATTCAGAGCTGTGGACATATCCTGGGATATAACCTGCATTCACATAATGCAAAAGATCAGTAGCACTGCCAGGTGAGAGTCACAAAAGCACGCTGCATTACCTGCCAGTGCATCCTGCAGATACGTGCATGGGATCCTGACTTCCAATTGGACAAGGCTTGAGCTGTGCAGGGGATCATCAGAGCAGAGTCCCAGGTAGCCTCTACCACTGTTAAAAGGCTTCTGGCTTTCAGCAGCCGGGACATGGCAAGGAGGACGTACGAGCTGTAAGCATGACCACACAAAGCTTAGTTGTCTCTTCATGGTAGAAGATAGGAGGTTTCTTCGCCATCATCTCTGTACCTGGACTTCCAGATCTCGTGACATTCTAGGCCACTTGCCTTGAAGGGGAGACCAAAGATCATGAGTAAATGTGACCTCCTCCCTGTGCTAAGCACGTTCAGCGACTGACTTCCAGCAGGGCATGGTTACTGTGCGTTTTACGTGCTTACTATAGGACAGAGACAAGGACTGATGGAATCCTGTTCATTTGGAGATGGAGGGCCTCACATGAAAAGTGTCAGCAAGCTGACTCATGGCACTCTCACATACATTTGCTTGGGAAGATTCATCACAGCTTACTTGGTTTTTCATCTGTGTAATCTTATAGGCAGACCTGAAGATCCTGAACATGACTTTTGTTTCTCTCATTCTGCTGACGTAACTACTGGGAAAAAGTGTTTAGCAGCACAGAATCCATTTTGCTTGAAGACATTGGGCAGTGAGTGAAACACAGATAAATGCAAATCTTGATTCAGTGACATCAGCATCTATGAAAACACTGTAGCTCTGGTGAAGATTTCAGCTGCAAAGGACTTCCTGTAGGGACCACAGAGAAATTAGCTAGTGAGCTCATGATGCATATAACTAAAAAAATAGTCTAAAATTAAAAATTAATTCAGTTTCATCAGTGGCTTCCTGAAAATAAGCAATTAATTATTTACTGTGAATACATACACATTTATCTTCTAGTGTTCCACAGGTCCAAATGATCTCTGGTACATCGTTTCTGCATTAAAAATACCTCAAACACCATTACAGTCCTTTTTGTTGTTTTTCCCCCAGGAAAAAAAAAAAATCAAAGACTTGAAAAGACAGAAACTGCCCCCCGTGCTCATTTCCACTAAGCACATCACAGAATAAAGAGGAAGCACATAGGTGGGGAACAATTCATCATCACTTCAATGTGAGCCTTGACTTCCAGCATCATGGTTCAAGGACAACCCTGGCAACTATTACCAGTTTTTCATTCCAAGGAAGGTGGCAGAGCATGGCCAGAGATAAGAAACTTTGGGAAACTACTACCAGTTTCTTAGAGGTTGGTTTATGTCCTGGAATCTGAAGCTTAACAGTCTCTGTTACAGCTTTTTTTTTTTTTTTTTCAATCCTTAGTATTGTAGCTCTAAGCATTCCCTATCCATCTCCAGACCTTTCTGGCATCATTCTAAATCCTTTTCATCAGACACGAGTTTTACACTTTGGCCTTAAAATGCAACTATGGATTATTCATTCATTATACTTCCGAGCACAAGCAGGATCAGCCCTTGTAAGTATTTGGATAAGGGACAGCCTTTGAAAGCCCAATATCCTATGGGAAATGCTATGGCTGATTCACTAGGTGCCAATATTCTGTCTGGTAATTCACAATTGGTACTCTTCCAATTAGCAGTCGGAGACATAACCGCTAATACTGCCAGCTGCTACCTGAACTGCCTTTCTTATCTGTTGTCTTTTTCTTTTCCTAGTCTGTTTGTCCTCTTGTATCTTTGGAGAGAGATTCTGCAACAAGACAGTGGCATTAAAACACTCAACGTTAACTGATGCAGTTGCAAAAAGGGCAGGTAGCATATCCTAGAGATAAGGCAGGGCAACAACAAACTGAAGAAGGCAGGAGTTTTGCTGGGTAGAAAGCATTCTTGCGGGGCACGAGGAGGGAGGTCTGAGCTTGAGAGTGGCTGTTCTCTCTCCCAGGGGCTGGCTTGTTGGGGGGACACAGGGGTGCATGTGCTTTTGAAGGCACAGGTGAGTAGGTTGAGTTGTGAGCTTCTGCACCTGCCAGCTGGGGAGATGGGCACAGATCCTGCAGGGCTCAGCGTCATTTGTTTGACCCCGCTGATTTCAGAGGATGGGCGGCCCCTGCACACACGCTGGTGTGCAGGCCCGGCTCCCTGCGTCGGTGGCCTGTGGCTCCGCAGAACGCTGCTGGGCAGAGGGGCTGCCTTGCGGCAGGGCTGCAGGGAGAGGAGCGCCGGGCTGGCGAACAGGTACCCAGCCCTGCAGGCTCAGCAGCGCGGCGGGGGGGAGGCCGGACGGGCCCCGGAGCAGGGCCCCCCCCCCGCCCCCGCCAAGCC